TTTGCCGCGCCAAGTTCCGGGACTCCTCTCTCTGCTGTCTTCCTGTGCACACGCTGCAAGCTGTTCTGAACATCTTTCTCACAAGAGAAGAATGAGAGGAGATGTAATAAACCAAGACGTTTTTACTACTTGGCTTTCGATAACATTTCGTAATGTAGCCGCTTTCTGATAGGTGAACTTACACGTCCAGAAATAGAAGCCAGTTTTTCTTCGGTTCATTCGAGTGAACTTGATATACTCCGACTGTTCGTTCAAGAACTCGAAACATCTGTCAATTTCTTTTTGTGTTGAGCAAATGACAAAACAGTTATCTATATATCTACTTTAGAATAGCGGCCCGAGGTCGATTAATGGTGCTTCCACCTTAGACTTGAATGCAATGGCAAGGCCTGGTGCCCGTCGTTGTCCCATTGCCAGCCCTCCCATTTGTGCGTAATACTTCCGGGACCATCTGTAGATTGAGCAGCTCAAGCATTCTTTTAAGAGTGCCATCAACTGCTCTTGAAACCACACGTGTTTATTCCTCCTTCGTGTTGTATAAGGAGTTCGAATATGGGTTGCTTTGCGGGGTCATTCGACACGTTTGTAAAAGGGCTGTAACGTCGAAGGACTCCATAGTGTACACGCTGTTGGGCGCAGTACGTAGACGATCCAGAAACATTTGGGTATTCGTAAGATGGGCTGAAATGTGTTTCAACAACTGGGTAAATATTAGGTTTAAAAACCATTTTATCCTATTCGTTGGCCCATATACACAGCAAGTGATAGGTCTAACCTTGAACAATGGTGGATCGGTGGACGTAAGATCATCGCTGGATACTAACTTATGAGTTTTTATAAGCAAGTACAAGACGGAACATGTTGGTAGGCCAACTTTTAGTTGAAGGCTAACTGATGGTTTAAACCAGCATCCCTTACTATTTTGGCCGATTTATGGTTCAATTTTCGGCATTTACTTTTGAACTCCTTCTCAGACGACGGGAGATAAAGTGAAGCATCTTTAATATGCTTTTTCGTTATCTCAACGTCTAACTGATGGGGAATTACGACAAGATTTCCACTCTTATCACTAACGGATAGTCTTATGTTTTTGAACCTTATCAGCTGTCGTACCTCTCGCATACCACGTTTTTGCACTTCAGTGAGGTTGGAGCTGTATCGCGATAGTGATTAAGGACTTTAAAAGTTTCATTGGTAATCGTCCGAAATTTAACGTCACCTTCATTATTGGGTTCCTGTTGTCTAAAGAACAGTTGAGAACATGGTTGTACTGGTATTGTCCCTAATTTTTGTTGTTCGGGCCCGTATAGCGCTTCACCCCTTGCTTTTTTGCGAAGTCCATCTTGAAGTTCACGTAAACTACATGCGACCCTACGCAAGGTTACCTTGGAAATAGGTTCAAATGGTGAGAAACTCGGTCTTAATTCTAATAACGAGCGCGTACCGTCAGAGAGAGTCTACTAACACGGTTAGCCGTGAACTTCTTTGCACATTATTTGTCGTACTATGACTCGTTTGATCTTCCTTGGCGGTGTTTCTATATGCTTTCGAAGCCGTGTTAGTGAAAAGTGCAGCTATAAAAGGCTGTTTAAGAAGAGCCGGTCTAGAGAATTCGGTAACGATAATTGAAATGCCACCGAGTAATCTAAGACGCCAGCTAGTTCGTAACCGCCTATACGACCGTCTCTGTGCAACGCAAAATTGCATAATTTGCCCCATTAGTAAAGACGGTGACTGCATGAGTTCGGGTACAGCCTATCTGATCTCTTGTAAAGCGTGCAGGGACGAATACGTTGGTGAAACGGGTAGACCACTCTGCGTTCTTATAAAAGAACACCTAGTCGGCAAACGTAAACCAAATGCTCCACTAGGCACTCATAGGACGCTGAGACATAACAGAGAAGATTTTGAAGTAGGGGTTACGATCCTCGCGCAGGAATCGAGGACACAAGCGCGCAAAACTCTAGAGACATTCAGGATTAATTCCAAGAATCCGAAAATAAACCACAGGGAGGAATGCTTCATTATCGCGCGTGAGTATATAAGCCTGTTATTCTGATAAGATGGGCACAATACGATTCCATGTGAACTCTGTACGGTTGGTCTCCACGTGACATATCTAGTGGAAGACTCATAGAAAGCGGTGAGCGTGCAAAGGTTCTGTGTTCAATGTGATTGAAGTCTTGCTTTAGAGTTTTCTTTGTTTGGTTATGGATGTGTTTGGCCGTGTAGATTGCAGTCAATTTGACCTTCCCAGCCTCTGATAAAGGAGAAATCCGCCAAAACGTCAGCTTGTACGTAAATAAAGAAATGAAATAACACCTCATGTTTGCTAAACAGAAGTAGAAAGAATTATTCAATCTATGTCGAGGTTAATAGAAAATCCGATGTGGGAGTTACCTTCTGTTAATTCAAAGTTTTTTTGGGTGAACAAATTCCTTCAGTCGCTGTTGGCTTCCAGCAATGCCAATGATTTTTTGGTCGAATTTTCACAATAATAAATTATGATTTAACGTCGAAGATAACGACCTGTTAGTGTTTGTGTAGCTGTTTAGGAAGAAATAAAGGTGTTCAATGTTAATTCCTTGTGGCTTTTCAACTTCGTCAGTGCGTAAAATTCTCTATAGAAAAATCGAAAATCTCATCCAACCTAAATTTATTCCACGGTATGAATTTGCTTATTCTGGATAAAACAGAGAACTCCTCCTTTTTTCATAAGTAGATTAGTAGGGCGCGCATAGCGCAGTGTTCGGAAGCGCCCTGCAATATGCGCGGGATCGATCCTCGCGTCCAAGGCTCACGAGGCCTTCCATTCCTCTGGAGTCGGTAAATTGGTCCCAGACTTGTCTAGGAGGATAGCAGCACTGGCTCGATATATCGGTAGTCCACCGCGAGTTTTTGTAAAAGCAAGATATTCATTCAATGACTGGTAACGCATGTTGTAGGTTCAAACTACGCTTATGTACAAGCGAACTCCGTTTCAGTTCTGTTCCCTTCCCATCAGCTCATTTCTACTAAACTATTGTTTCAGTAAATTATCTCGAAAGTCACAATGTTAACCCTTTATTTGCTGCATACTGTAATTTTTCATGGAAGGGTATGATGTGAAATACAACCACAACGATGCTGAGATATTCGCAGAACTTCGACTCTGGGCTATGTCGAACTACGGTTATCTTTTCCTGGTGCTCGCATGTTACACACTTCACCACTGAGGTTCTTGCTTTGCGTTTCTCTCAGCTAGTTTTCTACCTAAGTTCTACCTAACGCTGCCATCAGCAGGGCTGATCTGGAGAGCACAAATCGCTATTGAACTCAGTTAAACTGATGCTGTAATATAAATTACAATGTTAACCTTTTATTTTCTGCCTTCTATAATTTTTTATGACGGTGATTGCTGATGGCAACATTAGGTGGAAAACTAGCCGAGGGAAAAGCGAAGCAAAGGCCTGAGTAGTGAAGTGTAACACACTAGACCCCGGAAAGTGCATTCGTGGTTCGGTCGGGGCCCAGGGTCCAAGTTTTGCGAATATTTCAGCATCGTTGTGGTGCACATCGAAAGTGCTTATTATACATTAGAGGAATCTTGATGTTTGTATCAAGAACGAGAGCAATGATTTCAATTTGTTCTGTCTCTCCTAGGGCGCGTGTGGCGCAATGGTTGGAGGCGCCCAGCGACACACATGGGATCGATCTCTGCGCCCGTAACTCACCATGCTTTCCAACCTTCTGGGTTCGGTAAATTGGTCCCAGACTTATCTGGGAGGATAGCAGCACTGGCTCAACACATCGGTAGTCCACCGTGAGTTTTTGTAAAATCAAGATATTCATTCAATGACCTCTAATGATGCTTAATGAAGTCGAATGCATGCCGCATGCCTCAAAGGTTGATCAACGCCGAGAGCTTTTTTTATGTTTCTCATCGTACTATCGTCTCCAGAAGGCGATCACATTGAATTTGATTGGACCTGGACCTAAAGGAAAACCTAGAAATCGTCTTCAGAAGCTGGCGTGCTTGCATTGTAGGAAGTCTCCATGGATATTCAATTTTTTGAGGTCGATTGCAATCGAAATCCGATCTTTTTCATATGGAAAATTTTTGGTATACAGCTAGGTTTCTTTCAGGAGTAAAAGGTTACTGGCATAGGCCACTCCAGACTAGGTAACCAGATAAGACTTAGTTTGGACGAGTATACCAGACTGCCCATCTTCCTGCTATTCATTACAATTTCGTATCGAAGAATGCTTTCCACCAAGGTGATAAGGAGATAAAAAACATTTATTGAATTAGGAATTATAATGCTATGACTATTTCTTGCCAGGTTTTCGTATAACTCTCGACATTACTTACCTGGATACTTCGATGGCACGTCATCACCGGCTGTGCGGGCTCCAGCATAATCTACCTTTTTCGGAGTTTTGCTGGCTTAGACACTGTGGCTTCTTTCCCGAGAATCAAGAACTTCTTAACATCCTTTTTTAGTTTAGTAAAGCTTGAAGAAGTTCCTTGTGGGCGTAGATTTTGATCAAACCTCAAGCAATATTCTGACGTCAATCTAGTTCTGCGAAATTTTATGACCAGGGTGATCCAAGGAGACTTCACTTCAGGACTAACTAACTTTAACCTATGTGCTCTAGCGCTATTTAACGCTCTTCGGCAAACTGTCCATTGGGAAAAAAGTTGCTCGTTGGTCATCCTTTTTAAGTCCGCATAGAAAGAAAAAAAGTAGTGGTTTATATTGCTGTTTTGAGGCGTATGTTGTGAGTAAATTTTTGAAATTTCTGTTGAAATTGTGTACTAGTGGTGTTTACACTTTTTTCTCTTCTGTCTGAATCGAATACGCCTCATAGCAATCCTTGTAACCTCGTAGGTTCTTGTACGTAGATTCACTGGAGTTGTTATGTATAGACGTTCAGGTTTGTGTCAGAAATCCCTGTGAATAAGTCTGTAATTCACATCCATGATTTAACCCTTAACACAGTACGGTGTGTTTATAGTAATGTTGAGAAGCGCATTTGTGGTCGGTGGTTCCGGGGCTGTTGGAAGGCAGTTGATCGATGCGCTTGTGTCATCACGCCAGTTCAAAGAAATTCGCGTTATTGGTAGAAGAGAAATTTTTTTAAATCATGAATCGTTGGTAAGTACTTGTGGTTTTCGTCTTTGTAAATTTTGCTAGAGAGGCGCGTGTAGCGCGGCGGTTAGAGGCGCCCTGAGATACATATGGGATCGATCCCGCGTCCACAGCTCACCAAGCCCTCCATCCCTCTAGGGCGGAAGATTAGTCCCAGACTTGTTTAGGCGAATAGCAGTGCTGGCTCGATACAACAGTAGGCCAACGCGAGTCATTATAGGGGCCAGATATGCATTCAATCACATCTAACGATGCATAATGAAGTGGAATGCATGACGCATCCCTTAGACATTGATCACCGCCAAAAGCTTTAACCTTTGTGATAAAATTTTTCATCATGACGGAGCTTTTTGCCTGACATAGCAGTTGATTGTCTAATAAATGAACCCTATTGTAGTTTGGAAAGAGTTTAACTCGGAGGCTTACATGAAGAGTGACTTTACAAAAAAGTCTATGCTGTTGTTAGAGCATGCTTTTTTTGTTATTTTTAAAGTAAACTATTACCATAAAACTTGATAACTGCATTCGTGGAATTTTGCATGTCTTGAATTGTAGCACCAAGTAGTTGTGGATTTCGATGCCCTAGAAACGTATGAGGAAGCATTCAAAGGCGTGGATATTGGTTTCTGTGCTCTCGGAACAACTCGTGCAAAAGCCGGAAAGGTAAGGTATTGTTTTGAAGTATTTCAACTCCGTTTTAATGGTTTTAAAACACCTCGTGCTTCACATGTTGCAGGCTTTTTTGATGGCATACTGAGAAGAATAACGTTTAGCCTACCGTACTTTATCATTTATAAAGAGTAACAGGTGCGTGGCACTTTTCGCCACCGTGAGCTAGTAGAAATCCATAAGATGTGTTCATCTAGTTGTTAGTAGTGCAGATCTAGTTTCGAAAATCATATCTCATTCAGTTCTTGAGAACATTAGTCCTCTCCTCAAAAGGAATTATAAGCGGGAATAATTAGTCGAAATTTGCTGCTCTTGGTGTCTATATAATTACGTTCAGGATGGCTTCTACAAGGTTGATCATGACTACGTCGTGAACGTTGCGAAAATCGCTAAAGCTCAAGGTAAGGAAGTTAGAAAATCGTCTGGTTAATATCATTTGAAGTGTATTGCGCTTATATATTTGCGTCTGCTGAATAAATTGGCAGTATACAAGTATTTAGTTCCATTCAGGTGTGCGGGAATTCGTCTTAGTTACTTCAGCGGGATCCAACGAACATTCCTGGTTCCTGTACCCCAAGACAAAGGTACCTCAGTTCCATCTTTTTGATTTTTGAAGTGTTAATTTCTGATTACAGGGTGAAACGGAGAGAGACGTTGGAGCTCTGCAGTTTGACAAGCTGTTGATAGTACGTCCTGGTTTCCTTGAAGGTCCAAGGGAAGGTAGGTAAAGTTTTATTAACTGCCCACCAAATTCGGTTAACGTACAGTGGTCTTTCAATTTGGTATCCACAGATCGCGTTTATGGTACAACTAGCGAGTGCTGTGTTTGAATTTGTGTTTTAATACGTGTTTTCCTAATCGAAGATAGGTAGTATTGGAGTGGATGGCTTTTCCACTACTTCGCGAAAGTGTCCCATTTCGAAACTTCCTTGTCAAACGACAGTGAGAGTTTATCATTTGCAGAGCATCGTTTTGGGGAATCACTTGCGAAAGTCCTCGTTAAACCCTTGAAGTTGTTCAGTAATTCTATGGCTATATCCACCGCAGATGTTGCAAAGGTAAGAATTATGTTGCCCTTATCCGAAAAGAAGCTGAAATGTGAGTAAAACTCGAGGCCATAGGTGAGCTTCGGGCCGCCAATTACTCGTTTGCGTGCTATCCATCGTACCAACCAGGGCCCTTACTTTGCCTTTCTGTCAGCCAAAGTTTTCTCAGTCGGTGCTAATGGCGATCACCCGTCAACGGGAATGAAAGCACCGATAGAAAAAAAACATGGCTGAGAGAAAGACAAAACAAAAGCGTTCATCGGTGCATTGGATAGCACGTGAGCCCCGGTCAGAAGTTAGACATCGTGTTTTTTCTTATATGTTTATATTGCTGCTTAGTTTACTTTTTAACCTTCGAATTATGTCATTGACTTACAATTACCTCTAGGCTATGGTCGTTGGTGGCTGTTCTACAGAATTGAAGGGGACTGTTGTCTGGAATAATGCGACATTACTCGAAAAGAAAGCTTTATTTGACGATCTGTGCAAGTAGGAACTACTTCGAGTGCTTTTCGCTCCCAAAATGCTTCATATCTAGCATTTTCATTCGCCTCCTTTCGTACTACTTACTTCGTCGCCCTTGTGAACTGTATCGCTTTGAATAGTGTCATTTTCGATTGTTCTACAAGAACATTTACAGTAATTGCCTGAGTGTTCATATATTATGCCACAACAGTGAGTTATTAGCCTAGGTTAATTTTTGTCTCCATTCTTTGAGCCGCATTATTTTAGTGTTTTGGTTTGATATTTACGATTCCACCACTTGGAAAACAATGCTTTTTCCCCAAGCAACCAACACTACAACACTTTAAGAAGCCTTCTATTTTGCGTTATATTATGGTATCCATTGAACCATTGCCTTTAAGCTCTAAGTATCCAGTTTAGTCCTGCATATACAAGTAGCTGTCTTGTACAAGTATGTTTAGCTTTTATATATTAAATATTGCTACCGAGAATGGTATTGACTGGCCTGTTGTGATGAAAAGACTTTTATAAATTCTTATACCCTTTCTACTCTATCAAAATATTACGAGGAAAATTTTCTTCTCCAAATCTTTCTTCTGATCTGTTTACCTCGTTGGAGCATGAATAATTCTCTGTTTATCCATTGGATTGTAGTTAAGGTTCTAGCCTGATTAAATTTTGCAAGAAGGTAGAACTGTAACATGCCTATTCTGATAACCATTTTGCATAAATACTTATCAGTTTTTACCATTGGTCATCTTGACAAATACCATGAACTCTGATAGAGAGTACTAGTTTCAGTAGCAAAGGAGAAGTGTTTAGGACATATTTTCTCCTGGTGAGGTCTAAAAGAAGCTAGTTTGTGAATAAAGACTGAGATACTTACTAGTGAACGGATTAAAAAGACAAAGTTTTAAACATTAATCACTCTGTGAGGGTGCGCCATGTATTCGACTTTTTCAAGTATCGTTAGAGGTGATTAAATGCATATATGGCCTATATAACGACTTGTGGTGGCCTACCCATGTGTCGGGTAAGTGCTGCTTTCCCTCCAGACAAGTCTATTATCAGTTTGCAATTCCGGGTGAATGGAAGGCTTGGTGAGCCTATGGCGCGGGATCGAACCTATGTGTATTGCAGGGCGCCTCTAACCATTGCGCTACGCACGTCTCAATAGTTACTGATCTTTCAATTTGTTTGCATTATCAGACAGTAGTGCGGTTAGTTGTTTTAACATAGCGGATTGTCACTTTGGTGCTACATTTCGATTTTCTTCCTACGAAGAGTTCATTAAGCGATAGGATGTGAGTAGTGATATCGTGTGAAGGTAAAAAGTCGCCAGTCGATGAGAGGGAAAATCGATTCCTGGTGTTTGCTTAACATTTTGAACAGTTGCTAGTACTACCACTAGCATATGTTTTCTATTTCGGTTTTTTCCCTTGCATTTTCGATGATGTGCATTTTTTCAGTACCGCTTCTGGAATAACTTCGTTTGTTCCTACCTGTCGCTTTTTTTTATATCATCCTTTCCTGCTCTCTGTCTCTTTACTGCTACCTTGTTAGCACTAAGAACGTATTATTTGGATGAGGTGCTTTATTTCTTTTCCTTGTTAAGTAGTACCATTGCGGAGTCTTACGGGCTTCACTGTGTTGGATGAGGGAAGCTAGGGAAACTCAAACGTGGTTTGCGAGGCTTTCACAAAGTAGACGAAGTTTTTCCTTTATTCCAGACAACTGTGAATCAGTTCTTATGTATTTTCCACGTTGGTTGTTTGCTTTCGAATGAACCGACTAGCCTTTTACCAGTTTTGGTCGTATGCTTTTGAATAAATCGACTTGCAGGAGCGATTACACTCAGTCAATAACGCAAACACAGATGAATATGGGTATGTTTGTAGGCAAGCGTAGCTCAGTCAGCTGTGGGATCCTTCTGTCTGTTACATTAACGGCATAATGAGTTTTATTCCGCCTTTGCACACTATCCATTATCTTAAAGTATAGGCATCACCATTGAGCGACTCGATATCGGCTGAGGTGGAATACTTGCACCAAATCCTTATGATATTGATTCTTTAAAATGCCCTGGTCTATTTTCTTGTTATGACCACAAATAACCGTAAATGGTCATCCATCATGGGCGTTGGGAGGTCTCTAAGCACAGAAATAATGAGATCTTATTCATAAATATTAGATCTGTTTGCATATACACGGATTGTATCCTGTACGTCGATACAGTTCAAAATCTAAAGTATTTGAAGTACATGAGACGTGATACTTGATAGTCTTCAATAAGGACCCTCCACGTCTTCCTAGACAAGCTCCGGCACTCACTATCTTTGCCAAGTGCAGTAACTAAAGTGCATTGAAGTCAACAACTGTGAAATCTGGTTAGAAACAGTTCTGTCAAAAACGCTGTAACAAAGCCTACAGTATTCCGTGACACATGTTCTTGATCTCTAGGCTAGTACCATGTAGTCGCAACCGTTTTTGTCCTTTCGAAAACGAGCTCAAATCTTAAGAAAAACTTGTGTTTCTACTGCACATGTGGAGCAGATGAACTTGCATGTAACTCTGAACTGTTCAATAAATTCAATTCGATAAGCAGCTAATCTTTAGAGAGGAGGAACAAACAAGCATAGATGTGTAATGTTACATCACTTCCGACAATAAATCTAAACATGCTAAGAAAATCAGTCCAATCAATGTAACCCATTAATACTTATCACTATTGGACAGTTATCAGTGCTAGTGATAATAAGCTACGACCTAGTGCTAACGTTAACGCCTTGACCCTAAGATTGTAATTGACTACCGTAAATTATCAACCTTCACTTTTGTTAACCTTTTCTGTATTCACTGCCTATTATTATTTTTCAACGCAGCGTACGATGTGAAATGCAACCACTACACTGTTGAGATATTTGTAAAACCTATTTTGACTCCATGGCGGATCGAACTCCGACTACTCTTATATAATGCTGGGATATTTGAAAAATTCCGGACCGCAGGTGTATGCGGTGGGGAACGAACCCGCGTTGTTGTCCTTACCGGAGAGCAGGGCACTTCACCACCACACCATCCGGGTCCCCCACTATACTGTTGAGATATTTGAGAGAGAGAGAGAGAGAGAGAGAGAGAGAGAGATATGACCCGGATGGTGTGGTGGTGAAGTGAGCTGCTCCCCGGTAAGGACAACAGCACGGGTTCGTTCCCCACCGCATACACCTACAGTCCGGAGTTTTGCAAATATCTCAGCATTATATACGAGTTATATTTCGCAACATACCCTGCCATTAAAAAGAAAAAGGCAGTAAATAAGAGGGTTAAGATTCCGACTACTCATTCCGGAAACTCACTTTGTTACCCAGTGCACCATTGAGCCCCTTGCGTTTCTCTCATCTAGTTTTCTATCTAACGCTGCCATCAGCAATCACTCATCAACGGGATTGATCTGGGAGAGCACAAATCATCATTTAAATCCAATTAAGATGGGGCTATAGTCGGAATCACAATGTTATCTTCTTTTTTGTAATCAATTGAAGTCTGAGCTTAATTGGGCATAATGCCGATTTGTGCCTCCCGGATCGGTCCCTTTGACGAGTGATTGCAGATGACAACGTTAGCTAGAAAACTGGCTGAGAGAAACCCAAAGGGCCTCATTGGAGCGATGGGTAAAGGACATGAGCCCCTGGAAAGGGTAATCGCGGTTCGATTTAGCATGGGGTCTAGGTGTTTGCAAATATCTCAGTATCATAGTGGTTGCATTTCACAACGTACACATGTTGTACTAACGAGTTGATAAGAATGAAATATGCTGGGTTTCGACGATGGACAATGACATTTATGACCAACAAAACAATCGAACAGCTGTGTGGACGTGAAGTGAGAGAGACAGAGAGACCACCCAGTCATTCGCTCTTGATGTGTTGTGGGTGGCATCGGTAAGTTTTTATCGCTGGTAACTTAATCCATTGAATACTTGTTAATACTAAGGCATTTACTCCAGGATCTTTGCTGCTGGGAACAACTGCTTAGTTCACCATATCTAAATATTTATATGTGCTACTTGTCGGATTAGAGCGGGAAAAGAAGCAGCACGCAATTACTTCAATTTTTTTCATGGTAACACTAATTTTTCTGTAATCTCGTCTAACCTTCGCAGGTGGAGGACGACCTGAGGAGTATTCACTTAGTATGATGTGTAAGAGAGGTCTTTCTTCTTTGCCCTCACAGTTTTGCTACCATCGGTGATCTACTGCTTAGGGCTTCGTTTCTCTTTTCTCACTGCCTTGTTTGTTGTCATTTTCATTCGACAGTACTTTGAAAAATCGCTATCTTTAGGTGAATACGAATAATATTAGAAAGAACCAACTAGTGTGCAGCGTAAAGTGTAACTATTTGATGGAGTACTTGTGATATTCGATTTGACATTTCCCATCAGCATTTCGTATTTGCAATCGATCGATTGGCAAACACCGAGCTCAAATGGGTCATGCTACTTGGCTATCATACTGTCTTCTCATTACCGGTATCAGTTCTGACAAAGTTCCAGCAAACAAAAGAGAAAAGAACCCCGCTCGTTCCTCGTGTCACGTGCGGCTTTTTTCCTTTTCTCCTATCCATTTTGTAATTGTTGTTTTAATCATACTTTCAACCCAAACCGCAATTCCTCTTCATTTGTCATTTTTCTTGCGGTCTTTCTTTCCTCTTTCCTTCTAGAGTGTTTATATTTGCGAAGAGTGAGTAAGATCGTTCGGCCACGTGGCTGTGCTGTATTCATTTGTGCGTATTCCTTCTGGCCCATTATCATATCCCAGAGAATTTTTATGTTTTGTTGTCGATCACCTGTTTATTTAATTTTATTTATATGACATTTACGGTAATTACAAGGGAAAACGAGAACTTTGAGTGATTTTTGTTCAGATTTCCATTAGAAACATTAGAATTCCGTGCTAATAATGGCTACACATACAACTATGCCACGAAACCTTTCGTATTCAAAAGTGGTTCGAGCGTTAGCTGGAGAAGAACTGAATGATCGAGAAGTTCTTCAACTAGACGGTGGTATCACCGCACGTGAAGAAGGACGATTTGTATTTGAATGTGGATGGGAAGTTGCAAACAAGGTAATCATACTATCAAGCCTATAAAACGGATGGTTAGGTATGTGAAAACCTCATACGATTACAAAGATTACCAATGTAAGTGTTTTAAGGGATCTTTTTGACGTTTAGAATTCAAGAAACTACGAAAAGGTTTGTTAGGAAAGTGCTTTGTAAGCGTTCGTAGTCGTCACAGGGCATATAAAATCGTTACAAATTAAGCTGTTCATGAAATCGTTTCGATTTCTCTCATATATATATGTATATATATATATATATATATATATATATATAATGAGAACACTTATCTACATGATTTGAAGATCGTGTCAGTATCCGATCACGGGAAAGTCATTCATGGTGTGGAGAATGTGATGGCCGATTTGTCGCTGATATTTATCTGTTCGATGGCGGTGTTTGCCAATGTCGGAAAGAAATCTAGCGGTCGACAATTGATCACATGTAATAAGTTGGCTAGTCCTTGATTATTCGTAAGGAGGACCTTGTTATGATCACCTATACCACTTTGAGTTCAGCTAATCTACGAGTAACCGGAGCAAAGTTTTCATTCGTCATACCAGAGCTGCTCGTTGAGCTCATTTTCTGCGCGACACAATGGACAGACATAGCGTGACACTTTTTGTCTAAGGCTGTTCATTTCTACTGTTCTTGACGAGACATTAACCACGGACGGATGTATTACTGTGTTGTGGCGTGCTTCGATTTCCTCTTAACCTTGCTTCTATATGGAGGTGTCAATGTCGCTCCCATTTTGGGTAACCTTACTGGGAAATGAAGTCTCTCTATATATTGTAGTTCGACATAAAAACATCGCTCACCTACTGTAAAGAAGTAGGCAGTTAGCTGGAAAGTTGGGCGGCTGTTCTGAGATAAATTTTTTTCCACGTTCTGAGATTGCGTGCTGCGCAGATTCCAGTACATTGTGTTTTTCGTTCGCTTCATTTCGTCCTTCCTCGGCAAGAGTCTTCGGATTTGTAGGTTCTACTGTTGCTTTTAGATTTTTGACCATCTTCACGAATGTCGTTGAAGGGTGATCGAGTCGATTCTCTCTCGAATCGTGTGACTGCCGTGCTATAAGTTTCCCGGACACAGGCTACCGATTTCCCGATTTTTAAGGTTGGAAAGCTTAGTGATCCTGGCCACGGTCGCTTTACCCGTACTGATCGGCCTTACTACGACTGCTCTGTCCGCTCCTGCTGAAATAAATTTACGTAGATTAATTACATTAATTAGAATAATATGTGGGCTGTAGGAAAGCTGAACAGCTGGTAGCTTATGTTCGTTGTTGACAGTCATTATCAATTTAGATCGGCGGTATTTATACGGTGCTCAGAAGCAAAGCCCAAATCAGTATAGAAGAGTTAGGTACGATAATTTACCATTGTGCAAATATTATAAAAATATTTTATCATTGATGTTCTTCAGGAGATCAGTACTGTATGTTTGGTCCAATGAAAAATGACAAATGGCGATTAGAAGTGGAAAAAATTGAACCCGAAAACAGGTAAAACGTAAAATTTAGTACTACAATGCTGAGATATTTGCAAAACTCCGGACCGCAGGTGTCTGCAGTGGGGAACGAACGCGCCATTATCCTTTCCGGGGAATAACGCGTTCACCACCACACTATGCGGCTCCTTCGTTTTTCCTGTCTCTCAGATAGTTCTATCGATCTTTTGCGATCAGCAATCACTCGTCAACAGGATTGATCTGTGGAGCCCAAATTGACATTGAACCCAGTTAAGCTGAGGCTAATCCCGTTAACGAGTGATTGCTGATGGCAAAGATCGATAGAACTAGCTGAGAGATAGGGGAAATGAAGGAGCTGCATGGTGTGATGGTGAACGCGTTACTCCCCGGAAAGGACAACAGCGCGTTCGTTCACCACCGCAGACACCTGCGGTCCGGAGTTTTGCAAATATCTCAGCATTGTAGTAGTTATTTTTCGCAAAATACCCTCCCGTTAAAAAGAATAGGCAGTAAATAAAAAGGTTAAGATTGTGAGTAAAATTTGGTGCTCGACCGCTATGCGTCTTAATGGTTGACGCTTTTTAGGACCATCCGAACTGCGATCAAAAAAATGCACCAGTCCGGATTTGAGGTATTTAGCTGAAGAAGCGTCCAGAGAGATTGATGACAGCTGATTTTTGAATTTACAATATTGTTTCATTCTCATTTTTATAGTGTATGTATGGACGCTGGTTGATTGATGGATATCCTAAGGTGATCTTGTTTGATCTCGGTTCAGGTTCCACTCGTATGAACGAATGGAAACAAGAGCTATTCGATCGGTGGGTTGCTGTTGTAGATTTTCCAATACAGTTATTGAGCCGGTTGTTTCTCTTTTATAGATGTAGAATTGGTATTCCTCATGAAGACATTGAATCAAATGATGCCGTGATTTTTGGTTTTATGGTGGCAGTGTTTTTGAGGAGCTTCAGAGACTCGATCACGGAATATCATCCTTTGGTCGTTGCACATTTTCATGAATGGCAGGCAGGTATGTGATTGAGTGAGGGAGTGTCATCATACACTCATTTGCTAAACATTGGCTTTGGTTGGTGATTTTTTTTTATAAAATAAAATTGGTTCACGTAACCCTTAATGACATTTACTTTGCGGATCCCAGGACTTTTTTCATCCGATTCGTTTTCCTCGCATTCATTTTGTGCAGTGTCTTCGAAGATCTTGCTTATTGTTTCGGCTGCTGTTTGAAGATTTCGTTCTTTATGAATGTCATTGAATGCAGGTTGATTCTGTTCTCGTTGCTTTCTTCGAGATAGTCGAGCTAAGGCGTACCCACCTAGTTTGGAGGTATCGCTGGGATGATGGTCGAACCAGCGCCTTGCTTCCTTATGGACTGCATCACTAGCCACTGTGCTACCCCACTAGATTTTTAGATCACATGATTTTTTTCAGTTGATTCACTTCTCCCTTCTATATCATTGTTTAAGCAATGAGAAACGTTTGTGATAAAATTGGTAATTTAGGCATGCCTTACAATTCTACATGTAAAATTTTGTCTACGATGAGCATCAGGAAGCGAGTCGGCTTCAAACTGGATACTGTAGGAATTTTTAAATTAAATTGAAAATCGAACATTCTCAAAGAACACTTTCTGGTCGCCTTCATATTTTTAGGTGCTTTCGGAAACGGTATAAAATCGTGTTCTAACATTATTCCTTTCTAGCAATAGTTTGCGAAAATGACCACTTATGTTTTATTATCTTCACCCATCAACTTAACACAAGTAGGAAAGGCATGTGTAGCGCACTGGTTAGAGTTGTCCTGTCCGGCTCGTATGCTTTTTGGTTCAACCCTGTACTCAGAGTAAAACAAGCCCTCCATACCTTCATAGTCGTCTAGTTGCTCCCAGAATGGTCTGCAAGTATAAAGGCACTAACTTGTTGCACCGGTAGGCCTCCACAAATCACTGTATAGGCCAGATATGCATTCAATCACCTTTGTAATGTAGAGAATAGTGTAAAATGCATGGCGCATTCCCCCTACAGAGTGACAAGCGCCGAACGACTTATTCTTTTGTCGTTTAATGCAAGCAGTGAAATATTTGACAGTATTTGACAGTATTGAAGCATTATTTCTGGCATATTTGAAAACTTCTGGAAGTTTGTTTTCGTTTTCCAAATGTTACCGACCACTCTCAATAAGATTACTGTGGATTACTTTCCTTTCTTCAGGGTGACAATTCTTAATGTAGTAGGCTAAGCATAGGGGGCATAGATTCCATCATAGATGGGAATTCTATCGAGAAAACAGAATTTTCATTCCCAGTTTTAAATTTCACCCTACAAGTTTGAATTCGTCTAAACCTTCTTAATTTCGTAAAGTCTTTACTGGGAAGTCATATACATTGCGTTTCATGAGTTTTCTATGCACTTACTATGAAGAATGCAGTTTTGAGTAATTTCTTTGTAAACCGTAATAGATATTAGTTAGTACACGTTAATTCCACATGAATCATCTACTTCGTAGACGGTATAGATGGGTGGGACGAAGTGTTATCTGGATTGAGGAAATAATTTAATATCAGTGAGAACGTCGTAAGGAAGTGATGTCTTTAAAAGTTCGCTGGAATGGAATAGGGTTAATTTGAACTTCAGTGGTTTGATGAATAAAGGAGGGCAATCGCTAAGCCATTTGTACTCTGTGGACGAATCTACCTACACCACCAGTATAACGCGGAATGGATGGATGATTCGACATGTAATGGATGTGTGAAAAGTTCTCTAGTTTTCCTGTTATCATATTGAAAACAAAGCCGTTTTTAATCATCTGTGTCAATGATTCCTCGATTTTATTGTTCACTTCAAGGGAGCTTGCACGAGTTTATTGGAAATCTTTATTACAGCTAACGTTTCAGCGGTTTATCCTTTATCAACGGGCACGTGTAGCGCAGTGGTCAGAGGCGCCCTGAAATACACGTGGGGTTGATCCCCTCGCCCCAGGCCCACTAAGCCTTCCATCCCTCCGGAGTCAGGAAATTGGTACCATATTTTTCGGGGAGGGTTTCATCACTGGTTCGATACATCGGTAGGCCACCGCGAGTCATTGTAAAGGTCAGATATGTATTCAGTCACCTCCAACGATGCTTAATAAAGTTGAATGCATGGCGCATACCTCGGAGATTGATCAACGCCGAGAGCTTTATCGTTTTTGCCCTTTCTTAGATCCACGATGATTGAATTGCCCACAATAGTTGTTCCTTCTCGCGTTGTTGGTTTTCGTCGCCGTCGGATCGAGATGTATCGAGTAGAGTGGACCAGCGCACTCATGAAATAGCGTTTCACGTTCTGCTATTTTGTGCAGCGTGAAGAACGGTCCTTGCACGATAACGAATGAGAAACCACCGAAGCGTTAGTTGTAATACAGATCTATAACAGCCTCGTGTAGGCTCATTCATAATCGAGAACGTTGTTTATCCATATCCAGGTTCAGTAGAAATCAGATTTGATTGTTTACTGTGAGGGACTTTGTTTCGAGGTTATAAATCCAAACGGTTATCGATTATTTACGTTAAAAGTCGGAACTTCGAAGCTGTTACAAGGTTTTTCTCAAGTATTAAACATAATAACGCGTTGTGAATTGCTGGAACTCTCATCAGTGATTATCTTGGTTACTTTATACTAGAATCGTCCTTTTTCACAACTATTACGGATCCCAACACATTCCTCATTCGCCTTTGCCTCGAGATCTTCGTCCGTGGTGGTGGATTGATTCGAACCTGGCGAAATGTGCGAGTCTCATACCGTCATCCGTAAACATTGGCAGCTTCGAGCATGATCCCGGTTGCAAACACGTCCACGTATTTATAGGTAGTTGTCCTAGGGTACGCCTGTTCATCGAATCCACTTTGCAGTTTTTTTTTGCTCAACTTCTATTTGCTCTTATTATATGACCGGCCCGTAGATGTTTTGTTAACGATATATATTATCCTGGTTCCAGAAGATGAGTAAAAATTTGCAGATAAGAGCTTCATATTGCGGGTAGATTTTGTGTATTGTGTGTGCTAGTTACGTTTCAAAATATATCGTTGAAGGGCTCTGTGTGTGGTGTGCAGTATTCTTGACGTGAATGAAGTATCAACTCACGTCTGTACTTCATAACGGAGGTTTGGGAGAACTGTTGAATCGCAAAGGGGAGCGCGGAGTTTTGGGTCTCTTTAGTTGGTCGGTGATTTCCTAGGAGACCCGAATATGACCCATGCTGCTCTCCTTCTTCTATCTTATTTCTCCTTCATTTTGTTCTCCATGCTCATGACATGAGACATGTGCGAGGTGGTCTCTATAGTTAGAAAATCATGCTGTTTGACCTGTTCGACCTCGCATTATGAGCTTTTCATGAACTTGGTCTTCTTTCGATTTTGAATGAATAAATTCGTAGTCCAATCCTTTTCCCGCTTCGTTGAGCTCGTTGATTGTGATCTTCGCTTCGCTGGTATTTCTTGTGAAAGCGACTATGTCCTCAACAAAAATATTTGAAAGGATTTCACATTAATGCATATGCGTTTTCAATCGTAGTCGAGCGACTTCATTATCCAATGCAGTGCTGCAGTAAACGACTTTAGCGGTATAGTGCAGCCTTGCCAAGCACATTTTGCTACACTTACGGTAATGGCTCAATAGATAAGCTCTATTTTTGCATTGTCGTTCAAATAACAGGCGGCTAGAGTCTGTATTTGGGAGGGACCCACTTCTTGATCGACTGGCGCTGATAGGGTGACCATTCGTTTTCACGCTGTCAAAAGATTTTTCATAACCTATAGAGGTTAGCAAAAAAGCAGGTGTTACTCCCGACAGAATTTCATGATCCATCATGCGATTTTGATGTGGTCCTTGTAGCATAATCTCTGTCCGAGTCCTGTTTGCTCAACTAGTTGTCCCGCTTCCGAAGTATTTGATATACGCTATAGGACAATTTTTGTGAATAGCTTATAGAGTAGGCTGAACAGGTATATTGAATGATTATAAAGAAAATCACTTCCATCACCTTCTAGGGCAGGATGATCATGCGCGATGTCGTCCAGTGGTCTGGCGTTTTCTTCTTTTCAGCGTAATACGTCATATGCATTGCGTTAAATACATGTGGTTTATGGGTTTCAATTCGAAGGAAGTCGGCTGTAATGCTATCTGGTCCTGGAGCTGTAACATTCTTTACGCCTTCGAACTTCAATGGAAAGAATTTCGAGTTGTCGCAGATTATTCCATAAGCGAGTCCTAAATAATATTCAGGAGAAATTTCCAGTAGATTCACGAAATATCGAAAGAAATCTTTGACATATTCGCATTGATTTCCACAGGTTGAAATGCATACGCAGTGGAGTTTAACCAAGTCTTTCAAACCAACATACAAGAGACCAAATGCTTTCTGCAGTAGTAGAACTAAGAGAACTGTACCATGTTTCATTGACGAGCTAACTCGAGACTATTATCAAACATTTATTCGGCCAACGTTTCGGTGTCTTCGTCATCCTCAGAGCCATCCATCCGTCCACGGTCGTTCATATTCTCGATGTGGCATCTTCATCTTCTTATCGACTAGAATCTTCTTCAGTGGAGCATCGCTTGAGTGAGAAAGTTTCACCTGGCACTGATCTTTTATGCAGAATGGTTCTTGTTGACTACCTGTTGATAATAGCTTTTTTTTAATGGACAATCCATTCTGCAACAGGCGGTACTAGATAAACTTGCACGTAGCGAAGTAATATCGTTGTAAACCGATTTCGTTTCAATTTCTGTATGAATGTTCAATGTGCCGTATTTCATTTATAAGCGAACATGAGGTTGTTATCAAAAGTTTATTCGGGTAACGCTTTGTTGTTGGTCCACTGAAGAACATCCGACTCAATATGACGACGAAGATACCATTCGAGAAGACGAACTGCCGTGGACCATCGACTCGGATCATCAGCCCGATGAAGACGCAGTCGTCGATACGACAACCGAATAATTTTTTCATAGCAACCTCGTGTTAGCTTATGAATGAAATGAGGCACATTAGTCATTCATACGAGGTTGAATTAAAGTCGGTAGTTGACGTTTAAGTTATGAATCCACTGAAGTGTCTTTAACTTAGGCTTGGTTCTAAAAGAATGCATAAATTATATAGAGATAAATATAAACAGTCACGATAGAAAATCTACGATATAATATTTGCGAATTAGTATAACTGGTAGTCAGCATTTGTTTGTACTGTAGAGCTTACACGAGTTTGATACGACATGTTTATCCGGCTAACGTTTCAACGTCTTCATCTTCATCAGAGCCCCGAGGATCCCTGTCGATGGTCGACAATTGTCCCTCTTCTCGTCTTCATCTCACATCTAGCTGGATCTTACTGTTGAGCATCTCGAATGAACCGAACGCACCCGGCGACGCTCTTTTATACAGGGCGGTTGTTGTTGATATGATTATCAATTGATGATAATTTAATATCTATTCTTTCTTGATAAGCTTGCACGATGTTGATAAATATATTTATTTTCGGCTAACGTTTCGACGTCTTCGTCTTCCTCAGAGCCAATGATCCGAGTCGATGGTCCATGATTGTTGTTCGTCTCGACGTTGCAGCTTCGCCTTCGTGTCGAGCCAGATCTTCCTCAGTGAGCCATCTTCTCGAATTTGTTTGTACTGTAGAGCCATCTCTTCATCTTCTGATTCGAGAAGATGGNCGCTCTTTTATACAGGGCGGTTGTTGTTGATATGATTATCAATTGATGATAATTTAATATCTATTCTTTCTTGATAAGCTTGCACGATGTTGATAAATATATTTATTTTCGGCTAACGTTTCGACGTCTTCGTCTTCCTCAGAGCCTTTTTTTTTTTTTTTTTTTTTTTTATTGTTGTTCGTCTCGACGTTGCAGCTTCGCCTTCGTGTCGAGCCAGGTCTTCCTCAGTGAGCCATCTTCTCGAATCAGAAGATGAAGAGATGGCTCTACAGTACAAACAAATTCGAGAAGATGGCTCACTGAGGAAGATCTG